CCCAGCCCAGCCCAGCACAGCACAGCACACACCACGCCACACCACGCCACGCCACACCAGGCCATCGCCCACGCCCCGCAAGCCCCCCGTCCGCCCAGCCACACCTGGAACATTCCCAGGATGGCCGCAGTGTTGGCATCGTCCTGGGCAGAGCTGTAAGGTGCCGCCCTGTCCTGCAGCTCATTGGCCCAGTGCAGCGCCTGCCAGGCGCGGTCGTACTGCCTGCAGGGCACCCGACAGGCAGGCGGTATAGCCAGCGGCGCGGTGGTGCTGCGGTACAGCCGCAGCTCGGCGCAGTGCAGCGCGACAGCAGGGCAGCGCCGGGAGAGGAGCAAGGCGGGGTGAGCTGCCTTCCTGCACCACCACCACCACCACCTCCACCACCACCTCCCACCATGCACAAGCCCACAGACGCACAGGCGCACCCGGCCTGCTGGCGGGCGTGGAAGAGGCCAAACCCCACCCAAGACCTGTCCACAGGCCCCAGCCCGTCCAGCCAGGCCCAGCGCGCCTGCAGCGCGTGCCAGGCCCGCCGCTGGCGCCACCCCAGCCGCGACTCGTCCACTGCGAGCGGGGAGGCGAGTGGGGGCAAGGGGCGAGGGGCGTGGTGCAACAACGTGGGCAGCTTGAGCGGGGCAGCCAGGGGAAGCAAAGGCGGCGGCAGCCAGGCGGCGGCAGCCGTGCAGCGGTGGGCGCGGCGGCGGGCACAGCGTGCATCACGCCACGCTGCGGTGGCGTGGAATACACCGCAGGCGTGGCAGCGGGCGTGCGCGGCAGCGTGGGGGCACGCACCGCCCTGCGCCGAGCGTTGCAGGTACTCCCAGCACCCCTCCATCTCCTCCAGCTGGGCCGGCGTGAAGCTCTTGAGCGCGGCCCAGGCCTTGAGGTAGGTGGAGCCTGCGGGGACAGCAGGGGCACGCAGCTGGCCTGGCACGTGTGGTGGCGGGCGTGGTGGTGGGCATGGGCATGTGCGGTGGAGTGTGTGCAGCTCACTGGCAGCCTGCCCATGCAGGGCGCCTCCCAGCTGCGCCTGCAGCCGCTCCGGACCTGGCCGGCCACCCTCCCCGCCCCGCTGCCCCTGCCAGCTGGCGCAGCCCCAGGCCCACAACGTCTCGCTGCCGCCGCCGATCCCGCGGCGACGAGCCCCTCCGCTGCCGCTCCGCGGCTGGTGCTGCGCCTCTCACCCGATACCCCCTGGGCGCTTTCCAGCACTCGCTCGATCAGCGCCTGGCTGGCCTGCTGGCGCCCCAGCTGCTGCTCGGCCTTGGCCAGGTTGAACAGAGTGCCCACGTACTGCAGCGGGACAGCGGGACAGGATGAACCGGCGGTACGGTGCAGCACACGCACACACACAGCGGCAGGCACAAGAGCGCAGCGTGGCATTAGCCTCGCCGCCAGCCTCGCCGCCAACATGCCAGCCTGCGCCGCTCCGTGCCGGCCTCTGCTCGCCAGCCCCAGCCGCCGCCTGCGCGTTGCCGCTGCCCTGGGGCGCCGGCCGCCGCGCATCGCCGCCGCCGTGCTGCAGCAGCTCCTCACCAGGTCAGTGCCCTTCAGGCCCAGGCTCTCCGCTAGCGCCAGGGTGGCATTCATGGCCTGCCCCGCCTCCTCCACCCGCCCCCCCGACAGCAGCAGGGCGCCCAGGTTGGACAGCACGTACGCCCGTACCGCCGGCTGTCCCGCCGGCGCCAGCTCAGCGGCGCGGTGGTACATCGCCGCCGCCTCCGCCACCCGCCTGCCGCCGTTGGGCGCCGCCTGGTCCAGCTGGTGCAGCGTGGCTGCCAGCTCCAGGGCTGCATCAAAGTCGGCGGGGCGGGCCGCCAGCGTGGCGCGCAGCTGCGCCGCGCGCGCCTCCCCCGCCGCCGCATCGGCCTGCGGGGAGGGGGCAGGCGGGGCGGTGGGAGAGGGGTGGCGTCGGCGGCAGAGAGTGGAGGGCGGTGGAGGCGGCCGGTGTGTGGCATCACGCCCAGCAGCAGACAGCCTCGGACCTAGCTGCTAATCTGCTGCTCGCAGCTGGTCCCAGCTGCGTGCCTCCGCGAGGGACACTCACCTGCTGTGCCACAGCAGGCCAAGGCGCGAGCAGCACCAGGGCCGCCGCCGCGAGCACGGCGGCGGCGCGCCGCCAAGGCCTCATCCGTCCGGTGCGAGCGGGGCCCTAATTCGTTGAATTGGCACGTCCTTTGGGTCGCACCAAACGCGCAGCAGCAGGCCCAAAAGCTTCAGCTGTGCCGGTTTGGGTTGCATCGATCACCAGACACAGGCGCCTGAGGGCCTGGTGACATGAAGGGCGTGCATCAGCTGGATGACCATCCCGCAGCTGCCCCGATGCTGTAGGAAGGAATGTTGGATGACAGCGCGACTTTCCGCTGCGCCGTCGGCAGCACTCGGCGCGCCACTCATTCTCGGCATTGCTCTGTCGTGTTCCCATATTTACATCACTGGACTCTGCCCAGAACTAAACATTTCACAGAAGGACAAGTTCCTCCTGAACCACATAGCGGTGCCCGCGCTTGCTGCGGCCGACAAACGCTTTGCCGCCACAATACCGAAGGCGGCGTTTGCTGCGCACGCCGCCGGGAGCACGCCCTGTCCCTTCGTCCACTGCTTCCACTGCTCACAAAAGTCCATGTTCAAAGCAGAGGAGCCTGAAATGTGAGGCTCAGTGTCGCGGGTGGACATTGGACACCCACCAGCAGCAGCCTGCTGCTGCACCTGCGCCGCAGTGGCGCAAGGGGAACGACTGGGACGCTGTCGCGCGGCAGGCCTTGCGGTGCTGTTTTCGGCCACCTGAACGGCAGCAGGTGAGCATTTCGATGGAGAATGTGCCCCAGAAGGTCGCCATAAACTTGCGGTCACCATGACACAGCTGCTTTCTGTTCACTTCACCACGTTAGGTGGTGGTGCTCGGTACTCTTGCATTCTCCCCACTTGCCATACTCTCGGCATCATTGTGAGCGTTCCTTAGCAGGCGTGCGGCAGCCTCCTCGAGAGAACTGTCCGGGCATTAGCATAACGCTTAGCAGGAGCATCCCCGCGCACTCCCCGTGCCTGAAGCGACCAATTCACGACCCCCGAGAGCTCAGAGAGAGCCCAAGTGAGTGCCTTCACTTCCGGACACAGGCAACCCCTCACGTCCACCTCCAGATAGGCCTGTGGGTTGCACGTCTCTCCATCCCTGCGGGTCACCAGCTGTGCATGGCTCGATTTGTCTAGTTGCAAGCTAGTTCTTGCTTTACCAGACTTTAAGCCCACACAAGCAAGCACCAGAACCCGCTCCCTGGCTTGCTGCGAACAGGGTGCCTCTCGAAGGCGGAGGCAGCATTCCCGCCTTCTCCCTGCCCACGGAGCCTTGCACGATCCAAGGCGTCGGCTGGCGCGGCGTGCTGCTTCGCCACCCGGCACGACCAGTCACTCTCACCGTCCCGCCGGCGGAACACCCAGCCCAAGGACCGCCGCCTCCAGCCATGAGCAATGACGACTTCTGGGCGAGCTGCCAGCAGGTGGGGCCTCCCCTGGCCGCTATAAGGGTCCCATGCAACCATCCTGGGCCTGCGCCTGGCATGCACACCCACCCGCCCTGCCTGGAGCCGTTGGGTGATGCGCCGACTGATCCAGCCTCGGAGGCATCCCCCGCCTGCTGTGCAGGTGGCAGACTCTCAGCTGCCCGAGCTGACCGCCGCCGACTTTCCCATGTGCTTCCAGGTGCCCAGCCGCGGGCGCATGCCGCAGCGCTCGCCCACGCCGCCGACACGCTGTTACGCCTACCCGCCCACGCCGGTGGTGGCGTCGGCCGCCGCCATGGAGCGCCAGCGCTCGGCCTCCGCGCCCCCGCCTGGCAGCGAGTTCGATTCCCTCAGCAGCATGGACGTGTTTTCCCTGCTGATGGCGGATGACGGCGGGGAGGAGGAGGCGCAGGCGCAGCGCGCGCAGCAGGCCCGCCTGGCGCAGATGCAGCAGCAGCAGCAGCTGCACCTGGCCCAGCAGCGCGCGGAGCAGCAGCAGTGGTGCGACGCCGCCTCCATGCTCGTGCTGCAGCACGCGCGGCGCCAGCAGCAGGAGGCATCGGCATGGGAGGCGCGCCGCGAGGAGGAGCAGCGCGCGGCGCTGCAGCAGCAGGAGCAGGAGCGCCAGCGCTGGGAGCTGCACCGCTGGCGCGAGCAGCAGGAGTGGCAGCGCCTGCGCCAGGCCGAGCAGCAGCAGTGGGAGGCCAAGCGGCGGATGGAGGGCGAGGCCTGGGAGCGGCGCCGCCAGGAGCAGGCGCGGGAGTGGGAGGCTCTGCACGGGCCCCGCACCCGACCGCAGTCGCTGGACCTGCAGCGCTCCTCAGCCACCAGCTTCACCGCCGGCGGCTCCCGCTCCAGCTGAGAAGCAGCTCCGAGCCCCGGCCTGCAGCCAGCAAACGGACCCAAGACCAAGACCCCACACATTTTGTAGCCCCCCCTTTCATTCTGCGGCGCGCTCCCGCACATGCCCGCATGCCCTGTCGTGCAAACCCAAAGACACCACCCCAAACCTGCCTGCCTATAGTTGCACACACCAGCGACACGCCATATGCTCTGCCACCGGCAATGGCAGGCGCCAGCTGCCTCGGCCACCTTGCGACTCGCACAAATTTTCATTCCGTTTGCCATCTTTTTTTCCATCTGTCCGCTTTTCATGTCGCAGTGTCCACATTCCTTCGTTGTTTTCATGCCTCGCCTTCCTTTTCAGATCACCCCCAGCCGCGCCTCCCGGCTGCACGCCGCGCATGCTCCGCTCTGCACCACTCACCAAGCCCCCTTCACCTATTCATGAACGCCATCACAAATCTCTTGTCGGCGGGCAGGCGCCTGTGCCTGCCCAGCCCACCCCAAATTATTCACAAAGATAATGCCCAACCAATGTCATATTGGCAGCAGCGCATAATCGGCGCCCCGCAGCTGTACATGTGGGCGC